TTGTGCTGTATTGTTACCCGTGTAATGCTACCAAGTGATGAAGATTGATTAAAAGCATTTTTCCCTGTGAACCAAAATAGGGCTAGAAAACAAAAAAGGTGAAAATACTTGCACCAATAGGGCACAGATTGTTTCAAATTCAAACTTTATGCATGTTGCATAGGTTTTACCTCTGTGAGCTGCTAAGGAAATATTTAAAGAGTACAGAGAAATTAGAACTTCCAGCTCAGAGAGAAATTTCAGTACATATTAAACTTCAAATAGGAGAAGCATATGCTAATCATTCTTGTAATTACAAGCAAACAGGGTACAAATCTTTTTTTTTTTTTTTTTTTTTTTTTTTTGGAGCTAGAAACCTTTTGGGTTCAAGATTTATTATTTTCCAGTAATGGTTTCAGCAACATGTCCAGAACTCTATCACCACAGTTCTTCTGTGTATCAGGGGAAAAAAAGCTGTTTTCCAGCTTGACCATAAAGCTGTCTATAACTGTGTTTATAAGTCTATATTAGTGTGATATGATGGATACACTCTATTACTAAAATAAGTTGTAAATTAGGCTTTAAGTAAAATACGTGTCAACATAAAGAATGGGAAAATTTCATCCAGTTCTTATAACTTTTTCAATCTGTAAATTAAATATACTGATATGCTGTGTGTTCACATTGTTTTCTGGAATCTGGACAGGTTTCAGAGCACTTAAGGTGTTGGTACAGCAGAGATGCTTTTGTATTGTGACACACATAATGCAACCACATGTTGAAGGTGTTGAACAAATGTTTCTTCTTGTTTGGGTGAACAAAATTGAATGGGCGAACAAAATAATATTTCAGAAATTAAACTAAGGGAATTTTACTAAGGAGAAAGAATTACTCAGTTCCATCAGTTTTACTTTTTATTCTCCAGCAGCTTCCTTTCTGTCACATTCCATGAGAAACTCATGGCTGTCTTTTTTCTGTATCCTTATGAATTTTCCTTTCTAACTACTCCTCTTAGCACTTTTTCTCAAAGGCTGCTCTTTTATGTAGTGTAATCCTTAAGGCACTGTTAAATCCATCCAGCACTGACCCTGTTGGAAGGTGGGCATGGTTTCAAGTAGAGCATAACACCTCACTGTGCTACTGTGCTTCATTCAGTCCTTGGCAGAGACCTATTAAGCAAATATGTTATGCATATACTTTGATTCAAAACAGAAGCTGTTCAAACTACACATCAAACTTCTTACCAAAATTGACAGGCGCACTCACATGGTTTCTCTCCTGAGTGCTAAATTCTGCTCCTTAGTTTCTGAAGCCTCCATTTAGGAGTGGTTTTAGCTTACTCAACAGGATTTAGAGCCGTCAACTGCAGAAACAACTCCAGATTTCATGTGTAGGCTATAACAAGTGTATACATGAGAAAAAATAGATTTCTGTGCCTCCATCCTGTGATATAAACAACTCACATCTTACTGTTAATGTTCTAGAATCAGATAATTAAAGGAACAAGCGTGGAACATGAGCCACAACAAACAAAAATGGAGATTCTTAGGAGAAGATCTGCCAATTGCAGAAGCTTTGACAATTCACAATGGAGAGCTGTCTTCTGATGTTAAATGGATACAATTTATTTTTTTAAAAATAAAAATATAGTCTAAGACATTTGGAAAATGTTGCAGAATGTTTTAGCTAAGGCAATAATCAAGCACAATAAGTTTAAAAATTTGCAGTCTGTTTTGTGTACTTTTCCTTCCTTATACACAACAGCAGCAAGTTGCACTCTGAGCAATCACATGCAAGGAAACACTCAATGTTGTTTTATCTGTTTTCTTAGGCAGATTAACTAACTAACTAACTGACTAACTAACACAGATAAATAACTGTCTCATTCACATTTCTCTCAGGATGGTTGAATATATTTTTAAATCAAATTTATTTATCTGTTTCAATGCTGTAAGCCATACTGGCAGTTAATTTTACTCTTCTGTCCACATATTTTAGCATAATTACGTGACAAACCCTTGACCTTTTAAGATAAAGCTTCAAAAAATCCAGAGTGTTAGAGTTTCCTCCACAGCCTGAATATGTTTTGTTGTGGAGACTCTTAAAAGTTCTGAGGAATTTTCTTCCTGACTGAAGCAGACTGACAGCATGTGCCCACTTTTTATTCACTGAGTAAAACTGAAGCCCTGGTGTTTGTTGTTCAGGAGTTGTGCAGTGGTGTGTAGAGCACTGGAGGATCAGCCTCTGGCTGGCTTTATGTGTGTGGCCACCTGTACCTGTAAGATCCCACTGCGCTCAGTGCAGTTCTCCTTGGAAAGCAACACTACAGTTGGGGCCTCATATGGAAAGCTGTCAGCAAAATAATTTTGTTTCTCTTCTTTTTTCCTAAGACCTTGGGTGTTTATTATAAAAGAATATAGTTGTTATTGTTTTCTGAACACAGAAGACACATGCACCTCATTGATTCTTAGCTGAGGTAAATATGATCCCTAATGGAAAATTACTGCAATGGGACAATACACAGGAATTTACTATTCTGCCATTTATTTGCAGGCCCAGACAGGAATTTCTTAAAGCCTGCCTTCACTGGAAAACAGTAGCACTTCAACAGTGAGACTTGAAAAAGACAGTTGTACCTACAGAAGTTTATGAAAAGTTTTTCAGGATTAGGTGAAAATTTCTAATCCACAGCAAGGCCAACATGAAACTAACATCCCTTAGTTTCATGCAGGCATGACGGATGATTAAAATCCTTCTCCCACACTTAACTAACACTGCTGTGTCAAAGCTAAGTCCTGCAGCCTCTAATATTTAATGTCATTTCATGCCCAGCAAATACTTATTTTCAAAAACCAGTAAAACAGGTTTCATGGGAAAGGATAACAACCAAAGAAAAAGATGTGAACTGATACTTTTGAGAAAGCAGAATTCAAACTCGTATTTTAAATCAGGTGATACAAGGTTTTCTATAGTGTAGGCACATGCCCCTAACACAAGCGTAAAACCACTATCTGTGGAAGTTTTCTCTTCTCAAAGAACAACACAAAGTCTAACTTTTGCCCTATTACAGACCAAAAGCTCCAAAGGTTAGATCTCAGAAAGCTCTGTTGGATGGAAAAATTATTTTCATTTGCTTGGTCTTCTTTATTTTCAGTACCTGAACCACAGCAGCAAATTAAACAACTATGGAAAGCTTCTGTTCACCAGGACACAGTAATGAACAGGAAGAATTTATGCTGTGAGGGTGGCATCTCTGTGACATGACTTTGATTCTTGAAATGACAGTTAAGAAAAAAACCACAGTTCAGTTTAACTGCCCTTCCAAAGTAGGTAGATTTTGTTATGCATGTTCCAAGAAACCCATCAACAATGAATAACTGTTGAGCTGAAGATGAGTTTGTTCAGGATTCACTCTAGAACAACTTGTCTGTCCACCAGAACTGTTCTATGTAGACTTCTGGCCACATCAAAATGGGCTGCCTTAATTAAAGCCAAACAGAATATCAAGATCTAAATGATGATTCTCTCTGAGTGAAAGTTGAAGTTCAAGGATACTATGGACAGCTTCTCATGGATGTGGTTTCTAAATCTCTTCACTCCTGACCTGCCCATTATGACTGTGAGATAGAGAAGACCATGTCTGATTCTTAATTTCTACTTAGTTCTGTGTAAATTTTGCAACATAACTGGAAACCACCTGGGCCACCATGCTGGGCAGCTCCATCCTTAGCTCATGTTCTCATGACTGTCAGAGTGGTGGCTGCTTTTACCCCTGGTTAGTGAAAACTGGACACCCTCCTAACAAAAATTCTGATATTATTCTTACAGCCCTGCTTACAGTGTTAATATAAAATGCACAGGCTAAATATTTCTAATGCTGAGTTTTAAAAAGAGAATGAAAAAAGTGCTTTGTGTCTATAACTGAATGGGAACCAGAAAAAAAAATCTGAGTAAACAATGAACAACAAAAAAAGATTCCTCAATTAATTATTTAAAGTAAATTTAAAAATGTGTTTTAAATAAATTGTGATTTTCTATGTTTCCAGCCTTTTTTTAGGTTTTCTCAAAGTTTTAACTAGCAAAGCTCTTACTCTTCTTACATAGCCAAAACATTTACTTGTGTAGTTGGCTGAAAATGCTGTCTTTCTGTATTGGGATTGTAAATGAGCATATCTGCCTTAAAGATATTCACAAATTTGCCTCATTTGAGGATCTTGACTGGATTTGGGATTTGTGAGAGCATTTCATTAACTGTAAGGTAACAGAGGAAAACCAGAACACAACAGCTGACAAGAAGGCAAATTGTTTTATTACCAATACACTCCTAATCTTTGAGTGGAATTAATAGTAACACCACATACAGCTCCATGCAGACACTGTGTTTTTAGTGAGGCTTTTTCTCTTAAGAGAAATCAGCTCTGAGCTTTATCATGCTGCCATAGCCCCTCTGAACCTCTTCCACCTCAGGAAGATCAGCCTTATGTGTATTCAGAACTGCTGAAACACAAGCCTATTCTAGACACAGAAGGTACAAGCATAAATTATGTATCAACTAAATTACATTAATGTACCTCATGTACCACACATGCACAGTGTGGAGTTAGAGCTCCACTCCACTATCAGCAACTTCAGAGCTCTGAATGACACCATTGGGCATCTCCTTTTCTCACTAACTACACTTAAAATTGGAGCATCTAAGTTTGATCTGTTTCACTAAATGAGGACTTAAATTCCTGTTGAGGAAACTTTCCCTAACACAAGTTATAGCTGCATCTGAATAGTTTTAAGAAACAGGCGAACCCAACAGAGTAAATATTCTTCCTGAAATTTATCACTGAAGGATAGAGAATATAATTTTAATTCTGTATGGAGGAGACGGAAGCCCAAGTTACAGCTTTAAGGGGTTTTCTGATGCATGAGTGTCATGTTATTTCTGAACACGAGATCCCATCTGAAATTAACCTCGTTCTAAATGCATCAAAAAGCTAATACCCAAGGAAGCAAGACCAGACTGGACTTACTGTTTTTTTGGCTCTTCTGGAACTTTCCCAGGTGTACAGTGGGGGGTCTGCTGGGCTTTTGTGGTGGCCGGCCCAGCTTGAACACCGGGGGCAAGACTTTCCGCTTGGGCCTTTTAGAAGTCCTGTCCTCATCCTCTTGTGCTTCACCTGATGGTCTTTCTGCAGCAAGTGCCATAGTCATCTTATGGAATTTATGAGAAGAACCTGGTTCTTCCTGGGTGATTTTGTTGAGGAAGGTGTTCTTGGAAGCACTCCTTCCCTTTTCTTCAGTGTTTTCTGCTACAGTTTTGGGGGTTCCTTTTAATAAGCTGGACCTGTGGCCAGTAGGCTTCAGAGCTATTTTAGGAAAATTACTGCCTGGAGTTTCTGCAGCAGAGTTGCTATTTTCACCCATTTCCTTTGCTTCTTGGTGTGCATGTATATTTGTTCTAGGTCCATATTGTCTTTGCAGAAAACCACTTTTATTAGAAGTGTCTTCATTTTGAGATACCTCATTGTTTAGAGAAGGTTTCTGTGCAAGAGGTGGTTTAGAAACAGTAGGCTTGGGCTCATATTCTTGTGTTGCAGACCTTAATTTTTCCTTTACTGCAGCTACTTTTAAAAATTCTGGCTTTGTCTCATTCTCCTGTGATGCAAAATTTAAATTAGGTTTTGGTCCCATGGGATTTTTTTCTTTATCAGGAGGAGTAAGGAACTTGTTCCACGCAGGTTTTGGGTTCAAAGGCTTTGGGTCCTCTTTTGACGGGTCACAAGTTTTGATAGAGAATTTAGTGCATCCAGCTTTTTCATCATTTCCTCTGTTAGTGGGCTGAAGCTGAACACCGAACCTTTGTGCCACTGGGTTCGAATGTGCTGAGTTTGGATCTTTCTCTGTTTTATCATCACTTGATGGCTTGGCTGCCAGAGGAGGCTTAGGCTGAACAGGTTTGTGAAGGGTACTGGGTCCTGGAGAAAACGCAGTATATCCTTTATTTGTAAATTTCTCAAGTGCTGTTTTCCTTGTCTGTAATCCTTTGGGGATATCTTGTCTTGGGGTTTTGGTGGGTTGGCTGTTTGAAGGATCCTCTGTGTCTCTGTTACATCTCTCAAATTTCTCCATTAATAACTTCAGACGTGGCTTCGGATTCTACAAACATAAAGAAGAGAAAAACAAAGGGCAGGAATGGGAAAGTACTCTTGCAATGTTCACAAATACTGTGCTTTAAAGAGTTTCCTGGTCTGAGGCTTTACTGCTGCTGATTGGCTGAGGAGGTGCAATAGCTCATCTTCCTGTAGAGTTAAGAGAAGCTGAGCATTTTGTTGTATCCTTTCAGTGTTGATACGATATTTTAAAATTTTCATTCAGGTGCTGCCTTTCAGGTACTGCAGGTCCTTTTGGATATAACTTCAGTTCACTTCTGGAATTGTGAACTGAACACATAATAAATGTAAGAAATTACACGTGACATTGAAATCAATTTACCTAAAAATTTTATTTTCCTGTGATAAGAAGTTCCTGTACTGGAACCTGGGAGAATCTACCACATTCGTGTTATTCCTGCTAACTCTTTGGAGAACTGCAATTTTCTTTTGTGAAAACAAATTCTTCTGGTTGATGTATGTGTGTGCCAATTTTACTTTTCTTTCTCAGCAATTTTTTTACTTACTTTCTGCTCCCCACACTCTCACTTTGTCCTTGTTTCTCTTCTCCATTTTGTATCTGAATAAAACTGTGCATGTGTGGGTATCAAATGAAAATATGTGAAGTAAAATTAAAAAAAATGACAATCAATACACCCAGATATTGTCAAAGGTAATAAATTTCTTAAAAAAAAAAAAAAAAAAAGAAGTTAAGTAATTCCAAGAGAATAAAATCCAGCTTCATTCAAGAACAGATGCTTTAATTAGTCACCCCAATTCAATAAGTTTCAGGACCAGTCATAATTATGAACTGAACCCAAAAGTTCAATACATTTGAATTTAGGAAAAATAAAACACATCATAGTCCAGGATGGGAGGAAAAGGCAGTGAGTTGGTCCCACTGCACTGAGCAGGGTTTCAGGAGCCCTCTGGAGCAAGAAGTCCTCTTCCGAACTACAGCAGCAGCAGGGGTGCAGCTATGGCAAATACATTGATACATACAATTCACAAGTAGGACCTGGACTTCCTGTGTGAGCTAAAATGTAAAGCTTATCTTACAAACTAGGTAGGGTTTTGAATAATCTGTCTGTAAACAAAGGAATATTGTTACAAAACATAATAAACAGGTGTTAGAAAAAAGATTAGAGATTTAAGATTAACACAATCTTTCCAAACTGATTGTGTTGAGCTACAAATTACTTACAGTAAATGCAGCTAAAACAAGAGAGACATAATGAAACTTATACCCAGCAACCACATTTCTGGGTATTTTTGTGCATATAAAGAAGGGAGGAAGTACATACTTACTAAGGAGATTATCAGGTTTAAGCCATATACGGCTGTTTGATGCATACACACTCACACACACACAACTACATTTCAGAGTTATGTGTATGTATCAATTAAGATTTCAAGATTTGTCCCACAATACCTCACAAGGCCCTGATTTTACCCAGTTTAGACAATTCTGTGCCAGAGAGAATAAAAAAAAGCCTTTTGTCTTTGATCTTTTTTGACTTTGTATGAATTAATGATTTTTTCCTAAGGTCTGTAACAAAATCTAGACCACCAGAGATACTATAATTATAGCTTATGTCTGAAGTTTTCAGACCTTCTAAGTTAGTATTTGATCAGCTGCTTGTCCAGCTCAGCTACTCATTTCCTTTGAAATATATAGTAATAAATTGATTTCTTTGCTATTTCTTCTATATAAGAAAAATAAGAAAATGTACTATGCAAATGACAATACTTTTTACAAGCAAGAGCCATTCAGCATGTAGACCTTTAGGAAGCTGGGAATGTGACATTGAAGAAAATTTTATTATTATGATACATGGTTTCTGAGAAGTTTTCCAGACTTTGAATAGCAAGATAACATGAATTACATTCATACAAGCTTTCAAATGCACTGAACCATTAATTACTGCCATGTTAGGAGTCAATGAATTTTTAAAAATAACTTTCTTCCCAACACTGTGAATAAACCTTGCCTTAGTCATGCATATTTACAAGCCCAGCAAGAGGAAAAGGTTACTGGACATGTGACATTAGATTAACAATAACAGTTAACAATAAAGCCTCTTTCATTTACTTGGTAAAGGTAATAGTAAGAATCAAAACAGAGTAAAAAACTCAGTGAAATCTTTCTGCTTTTCTTTAATGTGCATCATCTGCCCTATTATCTGCCTTCATAAGTTGTGTTACATTAGAAGCCATGTAGCTTTTAATGCAGAGCTTGACTGGTCAGGTAGACAGAGGGGAACTGGGGAAAAAAGAAAATGTTTTGTTTGTAGCCCTGATCATAGAGTAGTCTCCACAGTTTCTGTGCTTCCCTTCCCAGAAATGACAGCAGTTACCTACATCATTATCACATAGTTAGTTATAAATCATGAAATGGGAACTTGAAAAGATTCTGAAGAGAGATTAAGTTCCCCCTACCCTTCCCCTCTAAAGTGCAAAGTGTCTTTGCAAAAGAGGAGTTTCATGCAAAAGCCATTTGGGTTATTTTTTGAACTTTGTTTTTGATCTCTATTGCAAACTCTGTGGAAAATATTTTGGCTTTTCAAATTTTGATCTGAACTGCAAGCAACACATAAGGAGCACAGTAAGATTTCTTTTAATACAAGATGGTTGCACTATTCAGAGGTGTTTGCTCAAATCTGGATCAATACCTACGTGTTAGGTCTCATGCCATAGATACATTTATATAAACAGAGCTTTCAGAGCCTCCCACTGCCTTCAGCAGAGACTCACAAAGGTACCAAGTTAAACTTGTACAGAATTGTTTCACTACACCTTAGTTACACTTCTGTGTTAATGAACATAATTCTCCATAATTTACAATATGGCTGCACATTTCTGTACAGAAGTACACTATAATGAGAACATAAAAGTACATTAAAAATTCAACTGTATTATTCCTGAGTTTAGGATGCAACTCAACTGGCAGCAACAAAAAAAGTGGGTTTTTTTTGGGTTTTTTTTTGCCTTGGAATAAATATAACTTTATTATTTACTTTCCTGTCTTGGTGAAGCCAACAGATTATTTCAGTTCAACTTCCCCTTGAGGCCAGGCTTTCTTTAAACAGCAACACTGGATCAGTGAACTGAATAGCAGATGTGTGTGCACACAATCATTAATTGAGCAAATGAAAAATATGTAACTTTCGACTGTATGAAGAATTCATTCAAAATATATGCAGATCTGATTTATAAAGGATAAAACCCCCATCTTTTCACAACTGTAATTTTACATTTCTATTCCCAAGTAATGGGGTCTAAATATACCCTTTAAAACTCAAGATCTTGATGAGTTTGTTAGAGAGTAATAAAATAAAGATTAGAAAACTATCTCTTTAAGAAGAAAACAATGCTTACTTATGAATTCTTTGATAGTGAAATAATCCCAGAAGTTGATAACCACTAAGGGAATTGAGCTCTAACCTATGTGCAAGATAGAAGGAATAAAAAAATGGATAAAAATGGCAAGGAAAATTACACAGAGAACTGTAGAAAAATACAGATCTGGAAATTATTTTGTAACTTCATATATCTAATATAACTTCTATTGAAGTTAGTAGATTTGAGGCAGTCTAGCTTTTTGTTTATGTGGCAGTGCCCTTTTGAATTCATGATAAATTACTGCTTGACTACTTTCTTTTCCAGACACCTCAGTATTATCATTATACAAATTTGCTGTTTCCAGAAGAGATTTCCAAACTGCTTTTCTTCCCCTTGAGTCTAGCTGTAATTACTAGTTCAAGAGTCCCTCTAAGAGTAAGTGCAGCATTTAGAAAGTAAAGTTGAGAAGTTTTAATGCTCTGCACCTAAAACATGTGTAGCAGAACCATGAAAATAAGACAAAGAGACATAGTTTGCTCATAGACTCAAAAGACTTGCTAATACAGTGATTGATATGAAAGAGAAATGAGTCCTCATCAGATAATACTCAAGGATGAGGAGACAGGCTATTTTTCTGTCTCAGGTTTATATGAAAGGAAGACCTCTAGGAAGGAGAGGATAGAGAGAAATCTAAGGCCTTCCCCAGTAAGAGGCTGACAGCCTTTGAGTAACCCTAAGAGCATAATTTCAAGCACCCCTCTAACACCAGCAAGAAAATACTAGCACACACATGAGGACAATATGGTTGTCAAAATTAGACAAGGCAATATTTCAGCCTGGTCGCAGTGTATTGTGTATCTTTTCAATTGTGCATTCCTCTACACCTTTCTTATCTCTCTTTTGCCACTTTTTTTCTATTTCTATCTAATCATAAGACCATCTATTCATACTGCAGAAAAATAAAAGGCTAGTTCCAGATGAGTTTGAGACCAGGATGAGTGAGGGCATAGGGCTTGACCAGAACAGCCAAATTACATCCCATCTTGTTCCCAAATTGCTTCTGACAAAGAAGTCAGAAGCATGAAGTCAAAGTATCAACAGAGGCATGATCATCTCTTCATTCTATGTCCCAACAGGCTCATGACAAAGTTTCTCTCTACATGGATTTTTTTGGTACCTGTATAAGTGAAAATAAGAATTATCAACCACTGGCAAGTTGGTCTTTAACAACAGAAGCCTGGTGGCTTCAATGTTTCCATCAAGGATTTGTATCTGATATAAACAGACTACTTCATATCCATTTCTGTAAAATAATTACATTTTTGCAACATGGTTTTATATAACCACAAAATTTCATGATACCTAATAATTTTCTTTTAAACTTTATTTATTTAATATGCCTTCTAATACCCTTTATCAATTATTTCTTTCAGATTAATGTAAATTTTCTCATGATCTGCCAGAAATTAAACAGATTTCACTCAGAACCCTATATATATGTATATATAGTATAAACAGTAACTGTCTTATGAATATCTTACTTGTCTGGTTATCCCACTAAAGTGAATGCTCCAAATCTCAAGGAAGAAAAATTTGAATTCCTGTCACTGTGAAGTTCCTACCATTACTTTGAGAATTTCAGGATCCCATATGATTTTAAAGGAAATTTTGTGCAATTTTAAGACATTGAGTCACATTTTGACTCATACCTGGAAAGGAGAATACTTTCTGTGATGAACTACTAACAAAATACATAGATTGACATCTCAACCCAGAGTATAGTATATTAATTTATACCCTACTCATAATTTAACAAACAACAAATAATGCAAGGGGGATAAAAAATAATTGCCTTTGAGTGATATAATTTCTGCTATTATTCAAAATGCAAAGGTCACTTAAAATAGGACAACTTTTAGTAAAATTTCAGAGAACTAATCACAAAACTCTGAGAGAGAAAAGTCAATTTTGTCAGCTTAGCAACTTTTCAGCTCCTAAACTAAGTAAAATCTACAACAAGATAATTAAGCTATATTCAATACCTTGTACTGATTCTATTTCTTCTGGAAATTTCCATGCTTATTTTTAAGAAGAACATGTGCAAAAGTTTACCTGAATTTCCCAAAGCTCTCCAGTATTTTGAAACAAGCAGTAAAACTGGCTCCCTCAATGTGACAATCCACGGGTGTATCAACTTGACAAACTATTTGCTAAAGAGGAGTTCTGCTTCTCACAGAGGACTTCTTGCTTCTCACAAGATACACTTGTGGGTTTCATTATCATGAACAGTAACTGCTCTCCACAGGATATTAGGCAAGAAGTGCTGGAGGAAAAGGGAACTAAAGTGTGTTCAGACTGGTTGGCTGCTTTCATCAGCAGTAAGAACCATGTGATATCCAGAACTATTGCATTTACCCCATATTGCGTAGTCCTGTGAGGCTTCCTTGGTGTACAGAAGCCTGAACCTTTACAGAATAGCTGCTAAACAAATGTGTGAGGCAATTACAGGCATAAAGGGTGGACTGGCCACAGGTCCAGTGCCCTTCTACCACTGAAAGTCCTGCATACATGCCCCACTCTCAGGCATCAGCTGGAATGTTCCTTTGCAGCCTCACATTCACCAGTGGGATCTTGAGATTCTGCTGGCCAGTTTTTAAAAACTTCTGTTATGTGGAGATAGTTCTAAAATACTCCAAAATTATGATCATACATTTCTTCTTCCTCCTGTGTGTTCAAGTATGAAGGATGATCCAGGCTAGAAAAGTCAATACTGAGTAAATAAGCTTCACAAAAAATTCTAAACATGTGTTTGTGCTGAAGGTAAAGGAAAACCATAATGTGGAACACCCTAAAAATACAGCTCAGTGAATTTGCTGGAGCAGTGTATGGGGAGGAGATTGCAGTAGAAAATCTGTGTGTCTTTGCGTATAATTAGAAGTTAACTGAATCTTCCTCATGGCCTACTACTCTTCTTCTGCACAAACTTCTTAGTATTTCTGAAATATTTTGGAGTGTTAAAGTAAACAATTTGGAGTGTTAAAAAAAACAATGAAAGTGCTTGATATTTCTAGCTTAATTTTACAAAAACTTGTAGCTTAGCTACCTCAGAAGTTTCTTAGGATGCTGGATGGATCTTATTTGAATTAGAAACACTGCTGCATACCAATGACAACTAATGTTTTTGTAATATAACACAATGGTTTTTTGTAGTGGAAGAAATACTGTCCTTTATTCTATTCATTCAGCTAAACACTGTATTTTATTTATAAAATAGTATTTATTTGTGAAAATAAACAATTATCACAGACAATAATGCATTTATTATTAAAACTACAGCAGATTAGAATTTGTGACTTGCTGATGTGTTCAGCAGCCTTCATGACTGTTTTAAGATGGCACCTATAGCAATACAGTGATTTTATGTGGGTAAATGCCACTAGAAGGGTTTGCTCAGAGTATTAGCTCTAGACAAATCATACAATGATCAAAGAACTAGCTTATCGTCCCAGCTCTGAATGCTAGACAGTTCCTGTTTTCTTCTATTTCATCCAATACACACAAATAAGTATATCCCTATCTGACAGAATGCTCATGAGAATATAAATTGCAACAAATACAATGAAAATAAGTTTAAGCTGTGAATTTCTGTGAAACTTGCCCATCTGCAATATCCACCATGTGCCTCATTTTCCATTTGCACATGCAATAGCTTCCTGAAATCTCTCTGGTTTTTTTCCCACTTATTTCTGTGAGGGTTATTTCTGAGTGATATAGGGAAATTAGCTATTTTTAGGTGAAGAAAGAATGTGAATAAATTAATATTTTAAGTAACAGGACCTGAACGCAGTGTAAAGGTATTTTGCCTTTTTCACTTTTCACAAAAACAACAGCAGCAGCAGCAACAAAATCACTAGCTCATATTCAAGCAAGACAAGGATGCTAATAATGAAAATGTCTTCTCATGTATATACATGCCATTACATTCAGTGTAGAGAAACACAGCATCTAAATTCCAGCACACCAGTAGTGTCTAACTGTTCCTATGTGAAAATATTGTGACTGCAACTTTAAGTATATTTTTTCTTAATCAGAGCATTTATTTGGATGTTTCCATGTCACTTTGGGAAAAGTGGCTAGTTAGGAATTAAGTCTGTCAAAAATTAAGGAAAAAAGAAAGGGAAGAAAAATAATCAGAACCTTAGCCATTCAGGAAGAGTGTGGCCAGCAAGTCCAAGGGAGGTAATCCTCCCCTCTACTTGGCTCTGCTGAGGCCACATCTGGAGTGCTGTGTCCATTTCTGGGTTACTCAGTACAAGAAAGAAAACAAAATACTGGAGAGGATTCAGCAAAGATCAGAAAGATTTGGGATCTGGAGCATCACACTTATGAGGAGAGACTGTGGGAGTTGGATCTGTTCAGACTGGAGAAGAAAAGACTAAGAGGGGATCTTATTAATGCATTAAAATATCTCAGAGGTGGGTGCCCAGAGGATGGTGTCAGGCTCTTTTCAGTGGTACCCAGAGACAGGACAAGGAGCAATGTCCATAAACTACAACACAAGAAGTTCCACCTCAATGTGAGCATGAGTTTCTTTCAGTTGAGGGTGGCAGATCACTGGAACACCTGCCCAGGGCAGTCACAGAGTCTCCCTCTCTGAAGATATTCAAAACCCACCTGGACATGTTCCTATGGACATGTTCCTATGTAACCTCCTCAGGAGTGTTGGACTGGAATCCACAGAGTTCTCTTCCAGCCCTAATGATTCTGTGAGTCTCTGCTGTAAATGTTAGTTCATCTTTTTAAGATATTTTTCTTTAATCTACTGATGTTCTTTGCTCCAAAATGGTTTGAAAAGTCAGGCACTTCCATCTGAACACCTCTTGCTTTCAAATTTAATGGTCACAAAGAATACCATAGTTAGAATTTTGTTACCACCGCAGCTGTGTCAGTAGTATTGTTTGAGTTGCTGTAAACTGAAGATATATGATACCAAAAAAAAAAAATTATTTATCTCTTGACATTTTTTTTAACCTGCTTTGTTTTGCTAAATTGTAAGTCTATTATATGATCCCAAATAAGGAGAGATTGCATAACAGAGTTAGTCATGGGGGAGGGTGGGAGAAGAAAAAGGCAAAGATGACTGGTTGGGGCAGCTATTTTTAAACCATATGTATATAGTGGGAGACAGGACTGGGGAGTAGTATGTGGAAGAACACTCTTGGGCAGGTGCATTAATGTCTCCTTCCTAAGTCAGAATAGTGTTGCCCTGTAATATATAACACATGCAAATAAGTGGAGCACTGAGCAAGAGAAAGTTTTTTAGCAGCGTTTTTCACTGAAACTTTGCTTCCTGCCTTCTCCTCCTCTCACTCACAGGGCTTTTGCCTCCTAGTTGTTACTGAACAGGTTATATACTGTAAAAAGTAGTTTATGCAGTAGTGAGGATAGATGTTGGAAAATTCTTTTAACTTTAGCTCATTAGTGTATGGTCCCTGTATTCATGGTTAATGCTGAGTTTTGTACCATACAGTGCTTAGTACAAATACCAGAGATTAATGTGGCTTTGTGTTAACTCCCTACATCTGTGACTAATAAGTCTTGTGCCAGCTAATGCTTCCTTGTTTACTTCTATCATTGATTAATATGTACTAGCTGATATCTTAGTTTTGAGAACAAGGATTGTGTGTCACAGCTAAGAATGATAAAAGAAATACATTATGACCTGGCACTCTCAAGGAGAAAAGTTTCATCACAACCATAGCCAAACAAGTAAATTGAAATAATTTATATATATATATGTATTCAGGAAATGTGATGAATGTGTACTAGTTTCAGGAATATAATCTGGTCTATTAGGTTATTGAACATGTATGTTTTAAGGAGAATTCCTCATCATCCAGTATTACTAATAGAGTAATGTTGTTTTTCTTAACCAACAAGGTTTTTTGAGAGTTTATTTCCCAGTTTTCAATGACGTGGGAGCACACTTGGCACAGGAGCAGAAATAACATATTTATCAAAAATCTCTGTACATACTTATTCCAAAAGTTTCAAACTACCTTGTTTTGTCCTGCTTCTGCGGTAACATTTTGAGTACATGAACCTCATCAGAGGGCAAGACAAAGAGTCAGCAGTCCTGCCGTGCCACTGCCTAGTGTCAGACTTCTGGAGTGAAGTGCCATATTGTCATGGCAGTTATCATGTTACAGCATCACTTTGGAAATCACCTGATTTTCAGAAGAAACTTGATATTCCTGAACGCTGGCAGGAACTTCTGCTTGCAATTGCTGCAGTACACCATGAGAACCAAAATTTTTGGTAGCGTAAGTCTGTGTTATCTTTGTGTCTGCAGACAGAACTAGACTTCCTCAAGAACGTGCTGCTGCATTTCCATCGCTTCTCAATTGAAAGCAGTTTTAGTATTTCTGACAGAAGTTTGGTCATGAGCAAATTAACAGCATTTCCTTGTGTCTACATGCAGTGTCATGTTTACGGTACCAATATGGCTTTCCAGATGCTGTTTTGGGACTACTGACGTGCAGGATTCCCTGAAAGATCCTCAACTCAGTGCTGTGGCTCTTTTAAATTCTTGTTATTCAATATATATAATCTTATAACCATTTCCTATTATTAATATATTTATACTTGCCTGAACAGGGAGTGCAGAAATCTGTTTCCACTATTTATACTTTTCTATCCTAGAGACAGCAACCAACTCCTAGTCTGAGGCAAGGGGGATGTGGGGGGGACGTGGTGGCCATCTCGGTAAGGCAAGCTAGCCACTCTGACACTGGCAGGTAAGTAGGCTCGCTGGCTGGGGAGTTGCTAGAAGCTGTGCGTGAGAAGAAATCAGAAGAGATTGGCGTGAGAGGGAGGACGGAGGAGCACGGCAGGGCTACTTGGGAGCCGCGCACCAACACCCTGTGTGGGGACAGGACCTCGGGCAGCTGCGGAGGGTTTGCCCTGAAGTTTTGCTCCCTCAGCCCCTCCTCTTCCGTTCCCCTCAGGAATAGGTGTGCCTGCGCCCTGGCTGACCGCGCCGTCCCCTTTCCCGACTCTGTGCCTGCCTGCCGGGCTCAGGCTGTCCCGAAGGAGCCGGGGCTGATGGAGCCGCTGCGGGCCTGAGCGCGGCCGCTGCGCCGGGGCAGAAGGGAGCGAGCCTGAGCCGCGGGAAGTACGCGCTGGAACGTCAGAGGGGAAGGGAGACTTTCTCAAGGAAGAAGTTGCTTCCACCCTGTATACTCCCATGTGAATGGCTAAGCAGGGGGTTATCAGCTGGTCTGGGTTCCCCTTCAGCATTCCCCCCAGC